CACGTGCAGCCACCATCTAATCCCAGAACATTCATCCCCCCAGAAAGACGAACCCCGTACCGAGGATCACCGAGCCCAGGAGAGGGAGGCTGCAGTGAGCCGTGACTGTGCCACTGCACTCCAGCCTGGGTGACAGAGCGAGACCCTGTCTCTAAAAAAAAAAATTCTGTTCCTCTGAAACCATGCCCGCTGGATCTGCGGGATCTGCCACGTGGCAGAGCTGCAGAGGCCCCCTGCTCTGGGCCCTGCTCGACACAAGCAGCTGTCGGGCCACTCCGTAGGTGGCCGGAGTAGCACACCCAGGTGGGAATCTAAGGGGCCCGCTCGGTGCTGCGCCGTTTCCGTGGTGGAGGAGGTTCAGATGCAACAACCGGGAGGGGGTCTCGGCACGCCACACACCACTAGAGACGTCGCCGAGGCAGAAGGCCCTGAACCTCAGCAGGGGCTACTTCCCGCCCTCTAACGTGCAGAGGTCTCACCAGTTGGTCTACAGTAGTTGCCGCTTCTCGCTCAGTAGGTCCAGTTGTCACAGTGTCACCAGTGCAACGTGCCAGTGTGACGCCTGGTGGCGGGAGGTGCTCGAGGTCCCTGGGAAGTCATTTGCAATGCAGGGCCGGAGAGCTGCCGTTGCGTGTGTTAGGACAGGACGGAGGGCGGCTGCTGGCCTCGCCCTGGTGGGCCTCCTGGACAAGGCTACAGAAAAGGGTGTTTGCCAGGGCCGTGGCTGCACGGCGGGGCCAGGGCCACCGATCCACCCACACGATGGGCCACATCTAGTGCAGCAGCTGCACTCGGAGCCACCACCCAGTTAGGCCCAGGGTCGTCGCCCTCATCTCTGGGACCCACCTCTGTCCGCAGTGGCCAGAGGGTCGTGGGGTTGCCTCTGGTTCTTGGTCTCCCTGGGCGGAGGCAGCTCACCCTTACGTCTGGTCGTCCTCACCCTTGGCTGGGGACCAGTGCAGGGATTCTGCAGCTGCTGCGTATGACAGGGACTCGGCCAGACCAGGAAACTCCGCGAGCGCAAGAAACCGTGTACCAGAAGCGTCCTGCCCCGTTCACAGCAACACGGACTTTTCCAGCACGAGCTTCAGAACCACGCCAGCCTCTACCCGTTACCCAGTTCCAAAGCCGCCTCCGCATCTTTGGGTAGTTGTTAGGACAACACCTCACTCATAATACCAAAACCCACTCCGATTCTTCAGAGCCAGACCAGCAGCCTAGAGAGAGTATCAGGGAACTGGCCACTGGATCACGGGCCAAGGAACGGCACCAGGCCGCTGCTCGATGGGCCTGAGAACCTGTGGGGCCGGAGCTCCGGTGTCCAAAGAGAAGAAGAACACCGGCTCGGGAGAAGGGAGAATTTGTCCTTCTTCCAGTTTTTGCCCATCCAGCCCACGCTGAGGGCAGGGCTTCCCCTCGGTGTCCCCTCTGCGACCCCCCCCACAGACACACCTGGGGCGCCCTGCCCGGCTGATCAGGTAGAACCCCCTGGGCTTCCCTTGGCAGAAGAGGGATGGGCGGAGCCTGTGAGGCCCTGAGAGCTGAGGATAAACAAACCTCAGGGGTACCTGGCATCCTGCAGTCCGGTCTCCCCGAAGCTCGCCGCCCACCATGCACAGCGCAGCAGTGAAGGGCACGAGAGCAGGAAAGTGTCCTTGGTCTTGTCCCCAGCTCCACGAGCCCCTGTGGCCTCCCGGGAGGCAACCGCTGTGGCTCCCCTCTCCAACCTCACCTGAGGATGGGGCCTGTTGTCAGGGACAGCCCCGTGACCAGAGGGTTGGCCCCTGACCTCTGGGGAGGAGAGAGGGCTGGAGACAGACCCAAGTCACCAGTGGCCAGTGATTTAACAAATTGTGCCCATGAAGTGACGCCGCCATTGAAGTCCCAACAAAAGGGGCTTGGAGACCCGGTTGGTGAGCAAGGACATGCCACGTGATGGGCGGCGCCTATCTCCACGGGGACAGAAGCCCCTGGGCTGGGACCCTTCCGACCTCCCCGAGAGCCTCTTTGGCTGCTCATCTGCGCCCCTAAAAGCATCCTTTGCCATCAGCAGTTGCATGTAGCTGTTTCCCTGGGTCCCGATGCTGCGGGCGGCCAGAGACCCACCTCTTGGGACGGAGGCAGGGAGGGGGCAGTCCTGTGGGACTGAGCCCTACACCTGCAGGGTCTGCGAGGACCCGGGCAATGAGTGTCAGAATCGAGTGACACCGCAGGGAGCCAGGCGGTGTCTGCTGAGAGTTAGAGTTGGGTTCTGTGGCCAAAACCTCCCACGCTTGGTGGCAGGCTCCCTTTCACCAGCTCACACCCAGCCCCAGCCTCCTGCCCGTGAAACGGTGGTGCGGATGCCACGGTCTGGGTCGGGATTAAATCAGTTAATACTCACGAGGCCCTGAGGACAGCGTCTGGCCTCTGTGATAAAGAACTGCGTGTGAAACGAAACTTCGCGAGAGACGCTCACAGGCAATGCAGTAAAGATACGCAAGCCTCTTATCGAAAACAGCAAACTTCAGTGAAGGACGTAACAGAGACACGCTGGGACACACCGTGGCCAGGCTTGGCAGAGCAGGGCCAGCCTCAGGGAGGGCTCGCCCCGCGCTCCAGTCCCCTTCTAGTGCTTCCACTTCCTCAGTCTGGGCTGGGAGGCAGGGCAGGGTGGAGGTGTCGAGGGGAGAGGACAAGGAGGGAAGCGGCCGTGGGAGGAGCAGCCATGAGCGGACCTGGATGCCTGGTGTGGTTCCTGGGCCGGGTGAAGGGCCATGAGGCTCACGGTCAAGGTGGACGGACTGGTCCGTGAGGCTGGGCTCTCTGGCCTCGGCCAAGTGCAGGCCGTGCAGGGGTCCTGCCAAGGGTGCCTGCTGGGACGCTGTGCCCACCAGATGGGCAGGGGAGGATAGAGAGACCACGGATGGGGAACCAGCGAGTGAGGGCTGTGGGGGCAGAGACTAAGCCTGGGGGTCACACGGTCACTGGAGGAGGCATGGGCCCCTGGGTGCTGGCAGGACGTCAGCGGGAAGCAGGAGTCTCAAGGGGTAGGATGGGAGCCGAGTCCTCATCTGGACTCTGTCGGGAGTTGGGGGGAAGGACCCCTGAGCACCTGTGAGCAATGTGGGTGAAGGGCAGTTGAGGGCAGCAGCACCAGGGGGTGCTGGAGACGCACAGAGCTCAGAGAACGGCTCACGAGCATTTTCCAAGCGTGGCACACAGACGCCTCATTCGCTCCCCCCAGCAGCTCCACCAGGCCAGTGCTTGTCGTCCCCATCGCGTGAGCCAGGATGCCGCTCCCAGTCAGGCAGCCACCCGGGCCAGATGGGGAGCAGGGTGGCCCCAGGCCTGGCAAGGAGGCCAGGCTGTCCTCCTGCATTGCTAAAAGGGACATTTCTTGTGTAGGGTGCAAGAAATAGTTGATTTTATGCATCAGCTTGGCTGGGCTGTGGGGCCCACACACTGGGCCAAACACAATCACATGCTCTCGTGAAGGTATGTTTTAGAGGAGATAACACTTAAAGCAGCAGACCTGGAGTAAAGCAGATTAGCTCCCCAGTGTGGGGGCCCATCAGTTGAAGGCCTGGTGGGAAAAGGGCTCAGGTCCCCTAAGAAAGGAGGAGTCTGCCTAGAGCCAGACCAGGCGAGCTGCAGCCCCGCGGGCCAGGGTCTCGCCCTGCGCAGTTTGGTCGGGCCAGCCCAGGAGCGCAGGAGCCAACTCCGCACAATCAGCCAGTCGCGCTCCTCTGCACACACGTGATACACATGCACGTCCTGGTCTCTTGGTTCTGTTTCTTTGGAGAACCTTGAGCAATACAGGTGTAAGGGCAGGTGAGGAGGCCAGAGCACCTAGGGCAGGCGCCCCCCCACCCCCCGACGGAGCAGGCAGGCCCATCCCCAGCTTCCACCTCCCCTGTGAAGGAGGGAAGGGCCCTTTGCTGGCACCCTTCGTGGGCTTGTGCAAGGCCAGAGGAGGACGGTGGCGCCGCGCTTGGCCTCCAAGGGCTCAGGCCATTGAGTGTCCCCGCCCCCCCACACCTGCGTGGACACCCGAGTGTCCCAAAGACAGAAAGCACGCCAAGGGTGACCGCCGGTCGGCACCGCGACCGGCTCTCCAGGGCCCTGGGCCTCCCCCGGGCTCCGCGTCGGGGTGTGGCGCCTGCAGGCTGCAGAGCAGGCCCCGGGGAACCGCGCTGCCCTGCCGGCCCCTCCGCCACTCGCCTCGCCGGCGTCCACACCCCCCTCCACCTGCCCCAGCCCGTCCCGCTGGCGTCCACGCCCGGCCTGGAAAATTGGCCCGACGGCAGCAGCGGGCCAGGTAGCTTTAGCCGGCGCACCGAGGCCGACGCGGGCCGGGCCGGGAAGCAGGGCGCGCAGGG